TCAAGTTCATTCCTGGGAACACCATAGTCGCACATCATCGTCGGCCTCCGGCTCAAGAGAGCGCTCGTCCTCGGATACCGCCACCTCTCCATTCCCACTAAATGATATTGACTACGAGTCTAGCCCGGCAGGTCTGGCGCAAGAGCTGAGCAATTTGCAAGCCCTGAGACGTATGTCAATGCATGTGGGAGCAACGGACGACCCAGACCTGCCCCAACTGAACGCGGCCGGCATGCCGAGTGCTCCGTCACCCACCTCGAGTGAAGACGACTCCTCTCGATTATTCTGGGTTCCGGCTCGATTGCACCCAGAACTTGCGCCGAAGGAATTCAAGACGTTTCTGGAAAGCAAAGCAGAGCAAATCAGAAGGAGATCGGGTGAACTGTCGGCTTTTACTACACCAACCTCGTCTCGATCTTCCTCGTTAAGTGCCGAAGGAGGTAATTCTGGCTTGCGCAGAAAGAAATCGATGCTATCACGCCAGATCGATAGTTCTGTGGGGTACCAAGATGGTGCGGAACGATTAGAGAGGAAAAAATCACAGTCACGCCGGGCGGCGCCTCTAGACCCAAACCTGCAAGAGTTGGAAACTTTGGTTGCGAATACCCCGGGCTTGTCGAGGCCAAGTCTGGATCCTTCATCAGAAGACGACACCCCGGACATAATACTACCATCAGTCCCGGGCAATAGTCTCAAAAGGTCGACAAGAACAACCTACCGACGAGGTGGAAGTGTCAAAGGGAGGGGAGATCGAGGCACATACGCTCAACGAGCCGCGAAAAGGGCAGTGGCTGGGAGCCCTTCGAGCAGCAGACCTGAGTCGCCCGAATCCAGCATCCCTGCGGTTCCTCCATTGCCAAATATATCCATCGAGGGTCCCAGCCTTGCGCAGACCTTGAAGGATGTATCTAGCACAGCAAATTCCGGAAGGACTGCTCCTACAAACTTCTCTCGGCCAGCAACCTCGTCCTCTAGCGGCGGGTCTTCTGGACCAACAACGTTTGATCATAGGTTCGGCAATGACGACGAAACGAAAAGACCGACAGCAGCAGGCATACCTGAGTCGCGAAAATCACCACCCCCTCCAAAATCACCTCCTTCAACAGGCGTTTCTTTCGAGCGAAAGCCCGTGCCACAAATTGTTGAGACTCCGCCTCCCCTTGAAGCGCCACAGGTGTCTGTCCAGCCTCCGCGGTCCTCTTCGATGACACCCCCACCCGTGCAACAGCCAGTGCGACATCCCGAGAGGGTTTCTTCTCGGGACGATAGCCGAACAAGAGCCATTTCCCCGCAAAGACCGTCGATGCCGTCCAGGGGGTCTTTACCAACCATTACACCCCGAACACCGTCCCCAGCAAATCAGATATTACCACAAACAAAACCCTCCCAAAGTCTCGAACAGCCATCACCTCTGCCTGGAAATGACACAAATACTAGCAATCTCTCGTTTATCCCGACCCTCAGTGTGGATAAGAGAGCCGACTCCAAGAAGAAGGAAGAGACCAAGAAGTCAAGTTGGAGCTGGTTGCTGGGGAAAGAAGACGGAGACAAAGACAAATCCGAGAAACCAAAGGCCAAAATTTCCAAACCTCCACAACAACACGACAATACACGACTTGATCTGCTCCAAACATCCATTGATGGGGGTGTTCGAGGGCGTGAAAGTCTGGTGCTAGATCGGGAACACCTCAAGCTTGATGAAGAACGCCGAAAAGAAAGCCAACGGAAAGCGTCAGGGAGTGACAAGAAGGAAAAAGAAGGCCTTTTCTCCTCGATATTTGGCGGCAAGAGGAGCAAGGGAGACAAGGAAAGCAGCTCAAAGAAACACCGCGACCGAGGTCTGTCGCCTGAGCCGCCGTACCGAGAATTGAAACCCGACATCGACTATAATTGGACCAGGTTCTCGATTTTGGAAGAAAGGGCCATCTATCGCATGGCACATATTAAATTGGCCAATCCTCGTCGAGCCCTGTACTCGCAGGTGCTCCTCAGTAATTTCATGTACAGTTATTTGGCCAAGGTCCAGCAGATGCACCCACAAATGAATCTACCCACGAGTGCCAAACAGCAACGGAAACAGCAGCAGAAAGACCAACAGCAGCAGCCGGACGAATATGTCCAATACCAGCGATATCAACAAGTGAGTACTTCAGGTTAGGCAGTATGGAGGTTCTCGTGCTAATTTCTTTGCAGCAACAAGCTCAGCAACAGCAGCCGCAACAACCTCAATCGTACCAAGGAGAGCAGTCATATGGTTCTCAACAAGATTTTGCGGGTGATTCGTCTGGCTATGATTACGACGCTGGCAGCTCGAGGCCAAGTTCGAGGGGAAGCAAGCACACGGTCGAGGGTAATGGTTCGGCATATGGCGGTGGTGCCGGTGCATATAATCAGTACCATAACAACAATCAACTTCAAGAGCACGTACAACAGGGCGGCTCACGCCACGGCGGGTCCCAGCTGGACGATGATGACGATGATATGTGGTAATATTCGGCGAGGTCGAAGAAAAGGCGTCCCGACTTGTTCTTCAAGCCAACTGGCAGTATCGCCGCTTTGATATTGGACAAGATATACTGCTGAACACTTTGGCCCGTTGCTCTCCCAATGTCTTTGGAGGGTTTTCTCTCGTCGATTTCTAGCATAGCGGATGGCAGGAAGGATGCGTATTTGTGAAGGAATATTTTCAACTTGAGGAGCGGTATGATCACATATCTCGAAATGACATTACAATATTTTGACACATCAAACTCGACATGACATTTGCTAGGACCAGGTCCTGACTTATCAGATGGGATTAGGAAGGGGAGGGAAGGATAGGAATGGTCCCTCCACTTAGAAAATTGTACATAGATGGAGGAATGCACAAACTTTGCTCAGATCCGGATAAATACCACACAGTGTCGTGTGAGCTGCATTTTAACGAGAGATGAGTGATATAGAGAGAGGGTCGTTGAGATGGCGCGAATACCGAGTGTCTGAGACTCTGTCCCGAGCAAGATGGCCAAGGCCTGATGGTTTGTATGGTGCATCATGATTTCAGTTCTCGTTACAAAGGGTTGTATGTAGATGCGAGGCTGAGCCATGCTGCAAGACACCGAGAATTACCTAGGTATTGATTTGTACCCTACATTTGTGTAAGGTTTACCCTAACCATTCATTGCCAGTCACGCCCTGACCCCCGTTACCGCCGTTCCTGCGCCAGAGGCAAGGCCATGCGAGGCGAGGCGAGGCGGCACGTTTCCGTAACCAAAAGTGCCTCTGACACCTTTCCATTATTATTCGCAAAGGAACTCTTAATCTTGATACACTACTCGCTGACATCACAACTCCTATCTCTCTCCCCCTCCTAGCCTCCGCAGCAGAGACTCACGCGCGCACTTGACTCGACGGAGTTGAACTGCGGTTTCCCAAGGGCATCCGCTGCGCTCCTTTCCCGCCCCCCCCGTCTTCCAGTCGCCGTAATCACAGACACAGCCACAGTCACCGAGACCTTGGAAAGACAACGGAACCGACGGCGCGAAAGTGAAGAAGAGGACAAAGTATTGGGAGAAAAGAGAAGGGGAAGAAGGGCGAGAACAAACGGGGAACCGACACTAGAGGATCCATCCCCCCGCCTGTGTGTCTGCGAAACCGCGCAGGGTCGAGGGCGAGCGGTATCATATCTAGGCCTTCGATACGGCTTCAAGGTCCTAGTCCTAAGCAAGGGGGAATCGGCCTCGCGAGGGCTGCCTCTGTCGCCGACTCAGAAGTCCAAGAACATAAGACCCCGGAAAAGTCACCAAGTCCGCCACCGCCGCAATGGCCGACGCCTACGGGCGCGAAGAGTAAGTCTATTCTCCCTCACCCACGATACACCAGACCCTTGACCAAGGTCAACACACTGATTGCGGCGACAAAAAAACACAGACAAAACAACGCCCTCCTCTCGTCCCTCTCCCAAAAGACCTCGGCGCTCAAACACATCACACTCGACATCTACGACAATGCGCGCAGCCAGGGCACACTCGACAACACCAACGAGGTGTTTAGCAGTATGAGCACAAACATCCGCGGCAGCGCGGGCCGGCTGACCCGCATGGCGCGCCAGGGCGACAAGGTCGCCGTGCTCAAGGTCGCGGGCGTCGTCGTCGTCGCCGGCTTGTTGGTCTGGTGGATCGGCGGGTGGATCCTGGGCTTGTTCTTGGGCAGGTGATGCATCCAGTCCTGTCTCGCTGGGTACGGGTGTAGGTGACTTGCCTGAACAAGCTAAGCACCTAGGTGTCGATCCGAGTAGGTAGAGCATGAAAGGGAAGAAAACATAAAGCAATCGTGAATGGGAAATGGGGGTTCGAGAACCAAATACCTAGAGAGGTAGGTATTGGAGCAGCGACAGCGAAATGGTTTTGATCATACTTTGTTGTATTATTGATACTGATACTGATACACTGTCTGTCCGTCTACCTCTGTTTCGTTATAACGATACCCAGTGCTCTGTTCCATTTCATTCATTCATTGATTCGTGATAATAGCTTTTGTGTCATGTTCATATTCATGATCATGATCCGTAATGATACCCAATGCCAATGCCAATGATAATAATATGCGTGTTTCTTTTTTCCTTTTCCTGGTTGCCTGCTCAATAAAAATGCCCATGCCGTGATAATGATGTTGTGATTGGTGGTGGTGGTGTTTGCGTGTCGGTAAGTGAGGAATGCTGGTAATAATGTCCTTTGTTGCCTTTTGGGTAACACTGCTGCAAGAATGGCTTTTGCTCTTCAGTAACGATGCCTCTCCTTCGGTAACGATGTTGTAAGAATGCTTTCCTCCAGTAACAATATTGCAAGAATGCTGTGCCAATAACATTGGTCTTTTCCACACGCCATAACAATACGTGTAATAATGCTTGTCGTTGATGCTTTTGCCATGCTGCTGACAAAGGAAAAACCCAGCTCAGGTTCCAGTCACACCTGCAGTTCTGTTGGGCTGATTTGGTTGGTTTGATGCGATCCATGTTGTCCTCAGACTGCATCTTCAAACTCTTCATCTTCTTCAGAGTCTCCTTCAAAGGCGACTTCATACTCTCTCTTGATGCCATTGACTGGTTCTGGTTTGACATCCACATCTTCAAAGTCTTCTTCCTCCTCCTCCGCATCTTCTTCTCCTCCTGCCTCATCGTCATCTGGAGTGGTAGCAGCCGTGGCGGTTCCATTGGTGGTAGCCCCGATTGCACTGCTTGTATACCACACTGGCAGTTGATTCTGTTTGGCGAGGAATTTCCTGCGCTCTTCTTTCCTTTCTGCTTCTTCACGTTCTTGTTCCTCACCACTAGTCAGGTTGACGGTGAGATTTTTAACGTCGACCATGTCTGGGCCGCTTCTCTTGTAGTCGTAGTACCTGTTGCCTCTCTGTAGAGGAACGTACTGTTCTGATGTGTCTGTTTTCCCACTTCCCTGCGGTCGGGGGACGTCTTTCTTTCGGTCCCATGCTGAGGTGAAGTCGTTTTCGGGGATGTCTGTCCGATCGATCTTGAGGATCATGTCGTCAAACTTTTTGAGCTGATCATTCAGCTTTCTGATCTTTTCGTGGTTGCCGCGGTCTTTCAGTGCGACTTGTTCGTTCTGGACCAGGGTCGCATGGCATCTGTCGCAGTAGAAGCCTTCGTCTCCGACTTTGTCAAGTATGTCAAGTTCTTCATATTCTGCCTTGCAGCGGGGACAGCGCCAGTCTTTGCGTTTGGTCTCATCTTGTTGATACATCGCCTCCACTTTCTTGCGGAGTTTTGCGATCTTGTATTTGATTGCGTCGATTGCGGGGTGGAAGGGACAGTAGTAGTATTCTCTGGACGAGGGTCTTGTAGAGCCGATCTTGGCTTCATTGCGGGACTGTGTCTGGACAAGCCGGGCAGTGCGCAGAGGGTTGAGTAGGCTGCGGATGTCTTTGGGCTGAGAGTTCAGGAGAATGTTCAGGTCGTCCATTTGTAGAACTGAGTGCATGAGGATGGCGTCGACAATGATGATCTGTTTAGGGTGAGGGAAGAAAGTGCGCACTGCCGTCCGGATGAGAGTCTTTGCTTCGTCCATGATGATGATGGTAAGGGTGTGATTTTGAGTGGGACTGTGAATGTTGTGACCAGGGGTTGAGAGAACCGAGGAGAGAGGACCGAGAAGAAGAGACGTGCAGCCAGCGAGTCTTGGGAGAGGAGCTCCGTCAAGCGTATCTTGGGTTGCGCGGAGGCGCAACACGCTTGTCTCTGCCAAGCCATTTGGTCAGCACTCTTTTGAGTTGGGCGGAGCAGAAGACGCCAAACGAAAATTCACTTACGCGCAGCACTCGCAGACGAGGGAGTCGCTCGACTCAAGCTCGAGCTTCTTCCAATTTTCACACCGCATCTGTGGCAGCGGTGGCCTCTCCCTTGCCTTCCTCTCCAGCACCAAGGAGGGACTTGGGTCCCTCTCGTCCAACGCTTTGAGCCAGCGAAGGACGAGGGACGCAGTGACCTTTTCAGGTTCACTCGCCTCCTTGGTGACTGGCTTGCAGTCAGGGAGAGGACAGGCGGGAGGGCGGAAGGACACCGGCTCGAAAACGAGCGGTGGGAGGTTGTCCTCCTCCTCAATCTCCTTTCGGAGTTTCTTGGAGAACATGCAGCCCATTTTCTCCGGCGGTCTCTTGAAAATTAAAATGGCTAAAAAAAGGTGGAAAAAAAGTGTCAAAGTCTCGGGCGTTCAAGTGATGTGGTATAGAGAAGTCCAAGTACGCTGGGCCGGGCGTGTGCCTCACATATACTCTACAAAATCCCTGAGGGTTGATCTTGTGCGTCCGCTACTCTGCCAAAATTCTATAGAGTGTTGTCAATCCAGTGGGAGACCGCCGATCCCAAGCTCTTTACAATTGCTGCCTCACTACCTTGTACACTCATCACATGCAATGTTCCGCTTCCACACATGGCTAGGTGGAGTTCATTGAGGGCGGTTGAGCCAATATCCACTTAAGCGAACCCTACCGCTAGCGCCGCACGGACCATCTTCGCTGTGCCGCCGCTGGAACTGACGAGGCTGGTGCTTACGGTGGGGCACGTGAACTTTACACATGAAAAAGTTTGATGCAAGAGTTCAGTGAGAAAACCACGCATTGCTAGTCATTCGTGCCGTTGGAATCCTCAGGCCTGATCAAGTTTATCTGTCCGTTTAATGGTCTCTCCTTGCCTGATGTGCGCAGCTCATGCCTCATTGCAAAGCGCCACATAATTAGCCAGATCAGCCAGATCAGGCACTCTGGGTTGATCTAAGGACGTCGCATCAATTGATCTGATCGAAATGATTTCAATAAGAGTTTTCTATACTACTGGCAGCAAAGGTGCGCGACGTGCTATCAGAGGTCAAGAGGCTGTTCATTGTTCCCTATAATGGCAGATATAGGAGCCCTCAGGGGTGCCTAGAAGTTTGGGTGGCCAGCATAGAAAAACGATATACCATCCTTGATCCAATGAACAAGTATGCCATTAGTTGAGGCAGTGCAGCCTTGCCCCTCCAGATCTGCTGCTCGTGAGTTTCCTAGCTGCCTGGATCGTCGTCGCTGCGTGGTTTAGATAGTGCTCTGTCTTGCGCCATCTTCCGCTCCAGCGAAAGAGTCAGCAACTCGGTCCAGAAGAATTGCCTACAGACCTCAAAATGTAGGTGGTTGAACTCTAGAAATGGGACGTCCCGACGTAGTTTGTTGGCAGTCTTCCAGGTTTGCGTGTCATGGTCGAATGTCGCCAACAGTAACATTTTCACCCAGAGAAGAAAGTCTTCAAGTCCCAGGGCCCCTGTACTGCGACATTCTCTCCCATAATCGACGTCCCAATTCAGCATGCAAAAGGTTTGAATAAATCCATAGCCATTCGTTATATGTTCCCCTAAAGTCTCGGTTGAGATAGTGAGGGCCAGCAATGAAATGGCCAACAACTCTTCCACCATGTTCCGGTGGGGGTTTTGCAGGATTACAATAGCCAGGAACATGACTTGAGGAGGCGACACTGGATATGTTGATGGCGAAAGTGCGAGTTTGTCATCTTGCTCGAGATCTTGCGTCTGGTGCATTAGATCAGACATTAGTTGCGCACTTGTCTGCACAACTTGAACCACTTGAACGCTCAGTCTGCAAGACATGGCTAATTCAACAAAGCCTAGAGGCAGGCGACTCAACGTCAGGCTAAATTCCGGGTGGAAAGGATGTGTAGGATATTCAAGCAGGCCGTAAGGAAACTTTGGCACCTGATCTCGGTCAGGCTCAGCATACACCCCTCCCAGGAATGTTTCCCAGCTGACCATGTTAGATTGCATGTGATACTCGTGTAAGGCGATAACTTACGATCTGATGTGAGCCTTGATGTAGCCCTGTAAGCCGGTAGATCTGAGCTCGCCTCGCATTTGTATCATACGATGCATCACACCCAGATGCTGAAGAGGTGACCCCAAGTCTTCCGAGAGTGCCTGTAGAGAGTTACTCCAACGCCGGGTGATCCACGATCGGGAAACAAACCTCAACAGCCATCAAATAAATAAGACTAAGCAGTATAGCGTCGGTCGAATCGGGAGGGTCGGATTCAAGTCTGTTTCGAAGGAGGACAAGAGCCTTCCAGTAATACCCGACCACTTTCCGGCTCTGTCGTTTGTCATGTATGCGAGAAGCAAATGCAAGGCCGGCTGCCGTTATCAAGGGATCTTGCATCATTGCCGAAAGATTGGTACCGATGAACTTCGAATCTCTGCTCTCCAATCTAAACGTTGGGTAACGCAGCATAGACGGACAGTAAAGCTCGACAACTTGAATGAATCTGTTCAGCATAACAATCTCCCTCCCTGAATCGTAGATGCTCACAGAATTGGATGGTTGCCAAGGGGTTGGCGTCGCCCTCCATCATTGTAGCATCCAGCGGCAGGGCATGAAAATTGACCGGCTTGACTCTGAGCAGCGTGCGGGCGGACCACCGAGCTGAATTTATTTCTGACTCGATGAGTCGCAGTGCTGGGCTGGCCCTAGCTTGATTATTCATATGCGATGGTCTGAGAGTGTAGTCGGACTCTCCGCGAGGTGCATTCTCTTGAGAGGTTGACTGGTGAATAGGAGAGACATGCCCTCCTCGACTCATCGCCTTCCTATATCGGTCGATTGATCCTTTTGGTAATCGCTTTGCGTTGAGCGGACCTTGAGAGGCTCCTCCGCTCGATTGTTTGAACGGTATTTCCGCTGCCCCTGGAAGTTGTTGTACTGCAAAAAGACGGCTTGGATCATCTCATGCCTCGCTCCAGCTGGAGGGGGGCCATATAATATACCATTCTGCCATCCTTGAAGCTCTCGTTTTTGGCCGACCAGGAAATCTTCTTTGAATCTGCGATCATTGTGGAAAGTGTGCACATATTACACCGGCGGTTAAATACGGGCCAAAAAACAACGTGGACGCGGGGTCTAAAGACGACAGCAATGGAGTTGCATTGTCAGGCTCCAGACCTCCTCATCGGTGTCCTGCATGCTAAGGGCCACTGAAAAGCTTGTGCCTGAAAATGACGGTCACTCGCAAGGCAAGATTAGGCGTGAAGCGAGGTCGAAAGCTCGGATTTTTATTCCCATCCCACGTTGTAACTGGAGAGCCCACAATGCAATCCCGTCTTTTTTGGGGGTGAACCTGCTGTCGCATGGCCCAAACTTACGGGCCATTTGGGCACTTCGGGCCAGCTGACTTCATATAGGCTAGCCAAGGGGCTATTGGGGGGAGACTTCGCAGTTTGACTGGTGCTCATTGGAATGGTGTGCCGCTTGGGGCAAACTGTCTGGGGGCAGCAAGAGGGGGAGCAGGGGGCGCTAGCCACAGAGGAGCTCGCGGAAGAGACTGCTGATTAATGGTCGGTGATAGTCTGATTGGAGGCAGTTGTTGTCATTTTCCAGGTTCAGTAAATGATGGAAGAACGTGGATTGAAATGTTCAAGAGCGTTGCTTGTATACTGTGCAGATGGGACAATGTGAGGTGAGAATGAACACCCAGGCTGCGACTGCGGTAGCGGCGGAGGGCCACGGCGGTGAGTTTGGGGAGCGCCGCACACACTCACCAGTGCTTCTCCCACCACCTTTCTCGATCACTCACTTCCTCTGAGGACCAACTCAGATTACTCCCCGTTTATGAACCCCAGCTGCTCAAGTTTTCACCGGATTCCATGTCAGTCTCTGGTCTGCAGCGCATGTAGCTGCCGTCCAGATCAGATCATTACCGTCTACACAGCGTGATTCCAGAAGGTGAGCTTGCGTTGACACGATCGCCAGGTCTTATCTCGGCTTGATCTTTGAAGTAAACACTACATACTACGCCTCGCTTCACGCATAACCACGAATACCATCGAGTTATCCGTGCTACTAAGCGTGGGTTTGTTCACTCGACCATAGACACCCTACAGCTGTCTCTTTTCCCACTCGTTACTACTTACGCACGCCGCTCATCAGCTTTGGTCGCAATCTCTCTTTGTTTCTTCCTTCGCCGCACGGTGATAACGGCTCGCACTATTATGATCGCAACAATGTTCTTCTCCGGACGCTTTCATGTACTCTGGTCTACTTATATCTGGGTTGCCGTGGCCATCGCTTTTGCTGGCAACACCCAAGCGAAATTCCTCAAAGGTGAGTGTAGTCTTTCAAGAGCAAAGGACATCTTCATGCCCTAACTCCTTCAGCGGATCTAAAATGGCCTATCCTTCGAAGAGCTCAGGATGACCTCCAATCCAGCCTCACCGATTTGTTGATATTGAGAGAACCTGACAACGACCCGGTATTTGAAAAGGCTATGCGAGTGGTCGACAATCTCGCCACCCAGTCGACCTGCCATCAAGCCGCGGCAGGCCACTTGCTTGTGACTTGTAAGACGATTGGCGCAAACATGGGTCGACAACAAGGGAAACACGAATTACTAGAGAGGGCTCAATCGGTATACGCAGTCAGAGTGGCAGTATGCGAAACGGGTGAAGGAAGAGCAGCAATCCCCCCTGCTTGCAAACCAATTCTTGAAATCCCTCAACGGCTTGACCACGAGATTGACGTCGTCAATAGCAAAATACTGGCTTCCTGTCTTGAAGCGTTGATCACAGAACATTACTACTGGACGAGCTATAGTAACAACAGACAAGATGCCAATACTTTGTGTCAAGCCACTACTATCGAGTCGTCCAGATTGGAAGCGCTTCAGTCCTACCAGAAGCTGGCAGAACTCCTTCCCGAGCTTCGTGCTGCACTTGGTTCGACCCAATCTCAGTGGCTGGCTTTCCTGAAGCAGCAGCAGGAAGAAATTGCGTACGTGAGCAAACTTGAGCGGAAAAGTCGAGAAGAACGCCAGGCACAACACAAACATGAGCTTAACACTTTTCACGACACTATGAATATGGCAAAAGAAGGCATGCATAACGCATTTACGACTCTGCAGCGACGGATAGCTAGTACGCAGGAGGACGTGACCCAGACCCAGGAGGTAAGTTGTATTCAACCATGGGTGCTGGACGAGCCACTGATTCGTCATCACAGACTCTGGGAGATGTGTTTGCTGATTTTGTCAAACTTCGAGAACTGTTGCACACGGCAATTGCAACCACTGGTGAGCAGCATGCTGAAGCTGCCGCGGCCCAATTGCAAGAGATGAGCATTGCCCATGAGCTTGCCCTTGCCACCACAAGGGCGCTCGAAACTATACAGGCGGGTGGAATAGCCCAGGTTTGTGAGTCCTACACAGGGGGAGTCATAGACTAACAGCGACAGGATGTCAACAAACTTCTTCATCGTCTGAAGGGCGGACTCGATGAGATTTCTGGTATACAGTCGACCCAGTTGGCGAGCGTGAAGCATCATCTGCAACTCAGCGGTGAGCTGTCTATGGCCCAGAGGGCTAACCTTGCTTTGGGCGAACAAATGAAACATTTTTCGACTTCCCTAGCTTCTCAACTTGACGCTGCAACCACCGCGGCCGGAAGAGTGTCCGGCAAGCTTGACAGAGTCAATCAAGCGTTGACGCGTGTTGAAGCTGCTTCCGCCATTCTCAGCTCACTTTTTGCCGTCATCACAATACCATCCCGGATCGTGGAGCACCTTCATTTGAGATTATTGGGGCTTTTTGCCATGCCAGCTTTACTGTTGTCGTTCTGGAAGCCACGAACATATTCGTACATACTGATGACTCTCTACGGTATGTGTCCCGTTCCATACCTCTTCGAAGTGCTAACTATTTTCAGTGTTTCTCGAAAGCCTCATATCCTTGATTGAAGAGCATTACGACAAAATCAGCATTGCTTTGCAGTACCTCAGCAAGAGATGTCAAGCCATAATATTGACTTGCGCTTTCAATATCTCCGGCAAGAAACTACTGGTTGCTGGGCTGAGCATGGTGGTTGTCCTCTGCTGCTTCCTGCTGGCACATCCTCTCAAGTCGCAACCGAGATCTACTTTACCACTAAAATCCGTTGAAGAAGTTGACACCCTCACAATTACAGAGCGATTTTACCTGGAGAACAGATTGCGGAATGCCAAATATCTGGGGCTTTCAAGGGACCGTTACCGACGAGCCGCGACTGTCTGCTAGTGTTCCACTTCGCACATCGTATGGTTGTCCTCTATCTTTCCACCCTATCATCATCATTTACGCCCGTCATGATGGGAACCATGACTCTATGACGCTACGATACCCGGGTATTTGGGAAGGACATGGCGTGGTGATTTACGCTATTCTAGCTGGTGCAGGAGGGATTTGTCTTGGCACCACCGCAGGCACTGACATGTCTTCTCATGTTGTTCGCTCTCTCATCTCTATCTCCATGTTCCCAGCATGCTTCAACAGACCACCACCATCCACTGACGAGCGTCCTGTCTTCCCTGTCCCTTTGATCGCGAATAACATTGTCCCAAAACTCTCGCAGGATTCAGGCAGAGGAGCAGCCGTGTGACCCTGATTAACCCCCCTGACCCTTTTTGAACACTAGAGGTAGCCATCTTTTCTCCTGGCTAGTTGCCAAGTTGAAACCCCTGAAGACTGCGGCGAGCAGAATCCCGACGGGTCGGAAGATTGGTCCAAAGCCTGCGAGAAATACGAGAAATATCACCGTGTGCATCCCTAACCAGCTGCGATGCCTTCTTACCACCCTCGCCAAAGAACTGTTTGTTGGTCCATCCTGTTTCTGGGCGCAAGTCCTCAACCCCGAGTCTTCATGTCCTTGAGAAATACTCAGCAGAGGAGGATGGTTCTCGTTTCAGATGCTTGCGCTTAGGACTAGTCGAAGCTCGCGTGTGGCTAGACACTGCGCCTTACGAACCAGCCAGCCATGTGCCTCCTTTTTGCTGGGCGGCCTTACTTGTATTATTGGCGAATTCGCAATGACAACGTTTGACAGGCAAACAGGCACCCAGCACCAAAAGCACAGTTCAGCCCCCAAACCTAGGCCCTTGGCACCTCTTTTCGCCCAGGGGGCCTTCTCGATGTTATGGTGCCAATCGTTTGCATGTGAGAAATCTATGCAGCCCGACAGAGTAAGGTGGCACAGTGGCTAGAAGCCCCTCTGCAAGCTCGATACGTTCCAGCCCTTTTCGAAGCTGTCGAAAGCCACGCCTCGACTCCGTCAAATGGCTATCGCTTTTAGCTGGCAGCTCAGGCGGTGATACATAAGTCAGGATCATATAAGAATGACAAGGCCATATCGCTTGCATTGTCGTCTCCCATTTCCTTTGCTCCAATTCCTCCTCATTCTTGCCTCAGCCGCTAGAACGTCCGTGAGTCGTGATGGCGCTGACTAGGATACTGACTACCGTTGCTACATGCTTCCTTGTGTTCGACACAGTTCTCGCTGCTGCCGATGCAGCTAATTCATCACAGCATGTTGTTCCCAACGCGGCTGGAGCCACAGCCCTTGACCCTGCCAAAGTCCAGAAGTACAAGTCTCTACTGGGTATGAGAGTCTCTCGGATCCTCCACTGGCGACCATGTTACTGACCAGAATTTATCGCAGATCACTTCGATTGGAAGGAAAAGTGGGAAAACGGGTTCAAATGGCACGATATCGTCGACGATTACGCCCCGGCCAATGCAGACTGCTCACCGAGATGCCTGACTTGTGCCCCTGGGTGTAACCCGAGATGTTGTGCGCTTGACACTTCACCGGCGACCACTGACAGGAATTTTGGCTCTCCTGATACATTCATCTCTCGTCCGATCTTTCCCGGTATTGGACGTCCTCTTCCCCGTCCACCACTCGGCTGTCCTTGCCATTGCGAGTCCTGGTGCCCGAGAAATGTTCAAATCATCTGCTGCTTTACACCTGCCTCTGCTTCTCCAGAACCAGGACCAGGAGAAGGCGCGATTCGTTCGGAACGAGCTCACCTT